TGTAACAGGAACACTGTACTAAGAGGCGTTCAACCCAACGCGCCCACTCTCGTTAAGTATGTATTAAGAAACGTAAACAATATTTTTGAGGATTTATTTAAGAGCACTGGTGCCCCTTTGAATTTAAAAGGAATTGTTTACACACACACACACACACACACACACACATATATATATATATATACAGAGGCCCAGATACGCATAGAAAATTTTCCAATTACGCATTGAAAAAATAATTGTTGCGTATACCAATTTACGCATTTAAAATGTTAGATACGCAAAAAGTTTAAAACAAATGCGTACGGAATATATTTATAAAAATCGCTTGCGTTATGAAAAAGACATCTATTGCTATCAAGTTGTACTGTTAGTGTAGGACAAGTGTTGTACTGTCAGTATAGGAGTGATTTTTTATGAAATCATTTTTATGAAATCATTAAAGCTGGTTTTGATTAGGTATGACATAAGGCAGAACATACCTGCTTAGTAAACTTACTCAATGACATATACTTAGGTGAGTAAAATGACTGAAATACGCACATATTTGAAAGCAGTGGGTAACGGAAAATGAAATACCCACTCAACATTCATAATACCCACTCCAAAAAAATACAGTGGGTACAGTACCCACATGAGTTAAAGACCCGTGAAGGTCCGGGTCTATTAGAATAGCCCTTCAGCAACCCATGCTTGCTATAAAGGCGACTATGCTCGTAAAAGGCGACTAACGGGATGGTAGGCTCGCTGACTTGTTTGATACATGTCATCGGTTCCCCATTGTGCATATCGATGCTCATCTGTTGATCACTGGATACTAAGCTGGAATATTGCTGAGTGCGGCGTAAAACTCAACTCACTCACTCACATGAGTTAAATCTTATCTGGAGCTCTGTACTATATATATACATATATATATATTCAGATACTAAGCGTTAAGCCTGAGTCACACCAAGGTAGTTCTTAGTACGTCTTGCCCCGTCCAAAATGTAATTCTAAAACGGGCTCGAACGGGATTGCATGTGTAACGTTTGTAACAATTACGATGCTAGTTTGATCATAAACAGTTCTCAGTACGTCTATTTAGTCTTTACACCGTCCCCAGACAGTTGGTATTACGTTTACATGGGTAAAATTGTCCGTTCACCCCGTGTGGACGTTTTCAAGCAGTTAAATAACGTCCTTAGTCAGTTTATATCCCTTCTGAACTAGACCTCGTTCTGATCTCGTTTTTAATACGCACAACCCCAGTACAGGGCAGTACGATATGACAAGGAAGGGTATAAATACTTGCATTTCTAACACGTTCGTCATTTGGGATAGATATTTCTACCTGTGAAACATGAACAAGTTTGTAGCTGTTTAACCTGTTGAATGCTTGTTTCCTGCATGTTTTAACGTGTTGGGTGAGGAACTGGCTTAAACCTGTGAGGCGAATAGCTGTGGGACATGATCATCAACTGATGGAGGAGCTCCGCCTTGATGATCACGAGTCCTACAATTTCTTGAGAATCACCCCACCCATGTTTGATGAACTTCTTGACCGCATCACCACCCCCTACTGAAAAGCTTTGGAACCAGGGATGAAGTTCGCCATCACTCTTCGTCATATGACATTAGAAGATATCCTGTGCCACCTTGCAATATGAATTCCGGTAGTCAGAAACACAATCTGCCTGTTGGTGAAAGATATCTGTAATGCTTTGGTAATGGATCTCAGGAAAGAAGTCATCTAGTGCCCTGTTGACAGAGCCACTTGGGAAGACGTTGCCGAGGAGTTCCTGAAACGCTGGGATGTCACACATGTTGCCATCAGAAAGCCTCCCTTCTGAGTCTGCTCTGTCACAGACATCTGAGGTGAGGTGAGGTGAAATTGGGTTTAACGTCGTGCTTGGGAATATTTCGCTCATATGACGACGTGCATGCGTGTGTATGTGTATGTGCGGCTGCTTGTACTAGCCAAGACTGAAGCTGGTTTTATAGTGCTAGCCCACTGAGATACCATGCCGCAGTGAAGCATGAATATACCCCACTCAGACACATTATACAGACTCCGAGCCGACCAGTCCTTGTTGTACCCATGAATGCCGAGCGCCAGGCAGGGACCAACAAGTCAACAAGTACCATATTTTAACGTCTTTCGGTATGACGCGGTTGGGATCGAACCCGCGACCTTCCGCTCTCCGGGCGGACGCTCTAACCACTACACCACGGAGGCGGCCCACAGACATCTGAAGGTCCAGGGAACACAGCTCTCTCTTCCGGCACAGAAGGCTCAGCAACCATGGCTTCATTTGGGCTTGTTGATCTTGGACTGGATTTCCCACAACCTGTCTTGGTCCAACCTTCTTCTTCCTTGGCGACATGGTGATGTCGATGTTTCTACCTTGACACTGCGAACGGGAATGAGAACGGACTAGAACGTGCTAGGTACGTATAGAAACGGGACAGGACGTGATTGCTATTACGATTGCACGCACGAGGAATGGAGTGAGAAAGTAGTGCGAACTGGAAGATCTGCGTGAAAACGGGTTGGTCGTGTTAAGAACGAGTTAGAACGGGGTTGTGCGTATTAAGAACGAGATAGGTCTAGTTCAGAACGGATATAAACTGACTAAGGGCGGGATTGAACTGCTTGAAAACGTTGTCCACACGGGGTGAACGGACAATTTTACCCAATCTAAACGTAATACCAACTATCTGGGGACGGGGTAAAGACGAGATAGACGTAGGCTACTGAGGACTGTTTATGATCGAACAGGCATCGCAATTTTTACAAAACCTACACGTTCTATACATTTCCAGCCCGTTTTAGAATTATTTTTTGGACGGGGCAGGACGAACTAAGAACTACCTTGTTGTGACTCAGGCTTTAGTCTAATCCCGCATCGCCAGTGAAGAAATCACAGCAGCGCAACAAACACCTAATAATGTCTGATAAGGAAAACATCAGACACGCTCGCACGCATGCGTACTAACGCGTTAATCCCATTCATCTCACCTGACTAAGGGAGTAAATGTTAAAATGGTTTAATGCTTCTTTGAATTAATACACTGTTTTCAATCACAGTGGTGTATATACACCTGGAGAAGTTGTTACATATATCATGTCTTCTCCCATGTCGAGGGTCACGGTAAATATACATATACACGTCAACTGTCGTTTTCCTCAACGTCAGGCCAGATGACCTTTGACCCGAAGGTTGTGACAAGACGGTGGCAGTGACACAAGTGACAACAGAGCGACACCCCGGAATGACTGACAGACATTTTTATAACGGGATGCCAGCCCTGAAAGTGATTGATGCCGTGTTGAAGAAATATGCAATACCTAATTCGTGATATTTTTGACAAAATGCCTCTTTATAGATCACAAAAAACGTCGGTGTAGAATGTACAAACGCATTAATCGGATCCAAATGGGAGACAGTTATTCCAAATATATCACAATCTACGAAAAAAAAAGATTGAAGTGAATAGATGCACATATCGCGTTTATCTATAGTCCTCGCCACTTGAAATAGAATCAAGAAGCATTTGCATGTGTGGTAGTACATATGAAGAGAAAACATGTCGTTCCGGCTATGAAGGTGCTCATAGCTAACATCGCAAAGACCCTTCGTGAGTCACTGAATCAGCTGGGTTATCCGCCATCTGCATCAATTTTCTAGCTGTATCGCGATGGGCACCCGTGAAGATCCGGGTTAGAATTGATCTTCAGCAACCCATGCTTGTCGTAAGAGGCGACTAACAGGATCGGGTGGTCAGGCTCGATGACTTTGTTGACATTTGTCATCAATCCCATTTGCGTAATTTTAAGTCAGACTATAAACCTCTGTTTCGAGTAACTTCTTACAGAAGACAAACTCTACAGAAAGATACAGCCAGTTTGAACAAGTGGATACTTTGGGTAATTACGAATTTTGTCAAAATAAAAAGGTTATGAAATATTTTATGCGTATTTGTGTGCAAGCAACAACAAAAATAAAGGGGTCATGGGGATTATGGTTGACACATGTCATCGTATGTCAGTTGCGTAGATTGATGCTTATGATGTTGATCACTGGATTGTCTGGTGCAGATTCGATTATTTCCAGACCGCCGCCATGTAGCTGGAATATCACGTAGAGCGGCGTGAACAAACAAACAAGCAAGCAAGCAAACGTAAGGATTTCCGTCCATTTATTTACGTCTCACTGAAATGAAGTACATTTGTATAATCCAACAGGACGTCACGTCAACTCTCAAACTCACCTTATTAATGTATCAACGTAGTGATTACATCTACAAGTAACAGGCAGCTACTTAATTCTACGGATTCACGATTATTGAGAGGCAAGGTGAGAAAACATGGCGCTTAACGTCATGTTCGCATCATTTCACTGATACAGCGGTTGACGCACATGCACGGGTGTGCGGGTAATTTCTGTGTTTAATTTGTAAAAGTGCAACAATTACACAGTAGATAGATAGTTTCCGATAAATGACAGAGATTAGAAAGCGGTTTGCCATAAAACTGGCTACAACGCGTGTAAACCCCATGTCTGTTTTGATATCGACAATGTGACACTTGTCAACCAATCAACGATGACTTCGAATAACCCATGGTATGTGGATCGGGAAATCGACAAGCAAGTGTCACTTCAACAATACAATGAATAAAAGTTTAACTCCACTGGCTGCGCTGTAACAGAGTTTCAGAACCTTGTGATGTGTTTTCAAGAGAATGTGTCATCTTTTTCACTTGTTTAATTTGATGTGTGTTATGAATTTGCATGGCGATTGTTGAACGCCTGCCACACAGTGACAAGCACGACATCTTTGATTGACATAATTCTTAACAGTTCATCCATACGATATGTTTCGTAAAGACATTGGGAAAAGGAACGTGTGTTTTTTGTCTATTATGTCAGTTGAATTTCACTAAATTGTCAACCGGTCCACTCATCGTAAAATCTATTGATTTCGTACCTATTAAACATGAAGCGTTTGTTTTAACATACCACAGCTGCCGTCTGCCTCGTGTCACGAAAATCTCCTTTAGCACGTGCAAAATGGCGGGTTGGTTGCAGTGACGAGATTAGCAGAGCAAACACGCCACGATCTTCACGAGAATTATCCTGTTCTTGAAAGAGAATATTTCCACCAATCAAGAGGTGTTTGATACAGCGCGGAGTCAAACTATAGGGTGATACCATTTTAGTATATTTCTTGTAAATGAAAGAGCATATTTGAAACTTCAAGTTAAGTTGAAAACTCAAAATATCTAACGTTGAAATTCCAAGATACTATGGAAAAAGTTCAAGATATTATACATGACACGATGGTGATATTTTAACAAAATTACAATATACTCTTTAACACTGCATGATATTGCACTTGAATTTTCATAGTTTTAGAAATTTCTACACGATATGTTAACATTTCAGCATATTTCTTGAAAATGTCTAATTTTAACTTACTAGAAGACAAAATCAAACTGACATGGCCCTATTTGCCTTCAATATTACAGAGAGAAAAATCGCTTTTCTAAACATTTTTTGTCTGGATGATTTTCTCGACGAATACAGTCCATAATTTCGAGTTGGTTAAAAAGTGTAACATTCCGTGAAAATCCGTCATCGTATCCCAATTGCGTAGATTGATGCTCATGCCGTTGATCACTGGATTGTCTGGTCCAGACTCGAATATTTACAGATCGCCGCCATACTACTTGAATATTGCTGAGTGCGGCGTAAACAAAACAAAACGTGTAAAAAATAATAAGTATTTTTATAATAAACCATTTTGCCCACAACTGCATGAGGTTTGAATATCGAACTGCTCTATCAATAACATTACAATTACAACAAGTTACTGTTTTCAACCTTTGAACATTAAAAAACACATAAAGCTAAAAAGTCGATGTAAAGAAATATTCCCATTTAAATCCCAAAATTGACATAATACATTTTCTTCAAAGAAGCAAATTATACAGACCGATGAACCAAACTTGCATATCCGCATCAATAACCAAGCAGTTCTGTGATTGCTAGCTGATGTATGTGATTGTTGGAAGGTTGCAAGTTGGATCATTAATCACTATATATAGCGCATAGCAACGACAGTCGAGACTTGAGGAGATATATATGCTGGTTCCTTTTAACGCCACTCAGAAACGTTCTAGCTTTCCCGCCGGTCTTTAAAAGATTTAGTCTTGACCAGTTGATCCATTTGATTGAACCTGTGAAGATACCGGTTAGAATTGATCTTCAGCAACCCATGCTTGTCGTGAGAGGCGATTAACGGGACTGGGTGGTCAGGCTCGCTGACTTGGTTGACACATGTCATCGTATCCCAATTGCGTAGATTGATGCTCGTGTTGTTAATCACTGGATTGTCTGGTCCAGGCTCGATTATTTACAGATCGCCGCCATGTAGCTGGAATATTGCAGAGTGCGGCATTATACAACCAATCAACCGACCATTTGACTGACATTGTGACCAGCGACACACACAACACGATAAGACATTATCCAAGAGAACAGCGAGCCTGACCACCTAATCCCTTACATCTCCTCTTACGACGACATGGGGCGGTGGGGTAGCCTAGTGGTTAAAGCGTTCGCTCGTCACACCGAAGACCCGGGTTCGATTCCAAACATGGGCACACTGTGTGAAGCTCATTTGTGGTGTCCCCCGCCGTGATATTGCTGGAATATTGCTAAAAGCGGCGTAAAACCATATTCACTCACTCACTCTTACGACGACAATCATTTGGTTGCTGTGATTTCTGTGTGGCGTTTGAGTCTGCACTCGGCAATATTTTATATATATGAGGTCAGCCTGTAAATAATCTTGTCTTGACCAGACAGTCTATTGGCTGACATCATTGGCAGCCATTTTCGACAACCATGTGGTTGCTGAAGACAAGTCTAGCACGATCCCTCACGGACCCTGTTTATAATAATGAGTGAGTGATTTTAGTTTTACGTCGCTTTTAACAATGTTCCAGCAATGCCACGGCAGGGGACACAAAAAATTGGCTTCACACATTGTACCCATGTGGGGAATCGAACGCGGGTCTTCGGCGTGACGAGCGAACGCTTTAGCCACTAGGCTACCCCGCCCCTATATACAATAACCAACGGGTTATAACGAACTCAAATGGACCACGAAGTTTAGTTCGTATTTTGACTTAAAAATATACAAGACGCAGCCACTCTGTCTGTGTGATTGTGTGTGTGTGTGTGGTTGGTTTCTTGGTTGGCTGGTTGTGTGCAATATTCCATCTATATGACGTCAGCTTGTAAATAATCATGTCTGGACCAGACACACCTGTGATGCATACTTTAAGCAGTGACCCACGACGTCGGAGGTAATCGTCAGGGACACCAGAAATAGGCTTCACACATTGTGCCCACACTTGTGGGGAATCGAACCCGGGTCTTCGGCGTGACGAGCAAACGCTTTAACCATTAGGCTACCCCACCGCTTCACCACTCAAAAGAAGCCGTGTAGTACAGTATATATATTAAAACGCTAGTGTTTGGGGAATCAGCTCGCATGGCTAGAGGTTCCACTATACTAACCTACACACAACACAGCACCTGAGTGAATAAACGAGGAGCCACAGAATGATTTGCGTCCGTCTGTCGTCCCTTTTTTAGATCTACTCCAGCTAAACATAAACGCATTTACTGATAAAACCGACGACAAAGTTGTTACTGTGAACTGAAGACTATATCATTTTGTTTGACCGAAGCATCGATGGTAAATGTGTGCAATGGATGACCAGCTGCGCTTGATTTGACCAACATAGAAAATAAACAGCCGTAAAGACAGATAACTGAACTGCATCTTGGATCTGTTAGCTTAAGAGACACTGGTCCTGGATTAGACCCGATGCTCCCTATCAATGAGAGAGACACTTGGCAGGTTTCCGATTGAGGAACGTGGTCCCTGAGTCTGTAATATTTCCCGTTTTCCCGTCATAAAATATTTGTCCGTTTCCTCCATATTAATATATATATGCCTGCCAGAAGATAGTTTTTTTACACACAAGGTAGCCAAGTGGTAAAGGCGTTCGCCCGTCGCCTAAGACCCATATTCACACATGGATACAATGTGTGAAGCCCGGGAAGTGTCCCGGGAAGTTGAATGATTTATTCGATTATTCAAATATGGTATTTTTTTCTAAAGCCGATTTGTGGAACATACTTAGCTAGCCATGTTTGTTTGTATCATCTAGTTTGGTTTAATTAAATGAAGATATTCTGCCGTAATTTCACTAAAGGCTAAAATGAATGTAGCACACACAAACATGAAGTATGTGGACAGAATGGTGTGCCAGTTTTAGTTGGTGATTAAAACGAAGAGCTTGTTTACGAAAAGGGTCATTGGTAGTTTATGAGACCTAAACCTTAACTCTTCGCCTTTCATCGTCAGTAGGTGAGGTGAGGTGAGGTGAAATTGGGTTTGACGTCGTGCTTGAGAATATTTCGCTCATATGACGACGTGCATGCGTGTGTATGTTTATGTGCGGCTGCTTGTACTAGCCCAGACTGAAGCTGGTTTTATAGTGCTAGCCCACTGAGATACCATGCCGCAGTGAAGCATGAATACCCCACTCAGACACATTATACTGACTCCGAGCCGACCAGTCCTTGTTGTACCCATTAATGCCGAGCGCCAGGCAGGGACCAACAAGTACCATATTTTAACGTCTTTTGGTATGACGCGGTCGGGGATCGAACCCGCGACCTTCCGCACTCCTTTCGAAAAAGAGTCGTTGGTATTTTACGAGATCTAAACCTTAACTCTTCGCCTTTCATCGTCAGTAGGGTCGGCGGGGTAGCCTAGTGGTTAAAGCGTTCGGTCGTCACACCAAAAACTCGGGTTCAATTTCCCACATGGGTGCAAATGTGAAGCCCATATCTTGTGTCCCCTGGCGTGATAGAGCTGGAAAAGCTAAAGGCGGCGCAAAACCATATTCACTCACTCGCCGTGTTCCCATTCAACATATATAACAGTATTGTCAAGAGCTGTCTTTGGCCAGCATATTGGTGTATTTGACAGCGGACCGAGTACTGCTTGACAGTTGAGCTTTCTGTTTATCAGCAAAAAAGGAGAACTCAAAATCTCAAATCACTGTCATATTCCAACATTTTAACTCTTGTTTTGAAAGATGAAAAGCTCTCAAAGTTTGACTCGCTTTCGCAATTTAGATTTTTCAATCTGAATTTGGAAAATGAAATACTCGCGATCTCGTTACGTACAACAGCTTTCTGTCGTTATGTTATATGTCAAAACTACACATCGCCCTTAAAAGTTAAACACCCTTACTTTCGATCTGAAACCACCAATTCACCTAAAAGAAGCGACAAAAGCATATCCTTAATCCCGAGAAAAAAGAAAATGCAAGGTTAAATTGTACGATTCCGACTTTACAATCTCACGTATGTGTCGTCGTGAATCACGAACAGCCACGATACCAAGCGTTCGCGAAAAGGCGAGCGTATCCTGCTCAATCGAAGGCATTCGTCATATACACATGCGAAGCCAAGTCAATTGTTCACCTGAACAAACACGGGATAATACGAACAAAATCATTTTAAAAAGTCGCGATTAACAGAAACGATCAATTACGAGGTTGAGTCTGCCCATGTCTCGATGTTCAACATGGAAGCCGATCTGTCAAAATATTCACGGACAGAAACTCGCCATGTAGCATGATGGCGACTTCTAAATGAATCCCTGATATCAGGCTCGGCTAAGCGATGCGAGCGGTAATACGTTACGGACTTGTGTAAACTTCATTCATCATTTAGGGCGGCAGGGTAGCCTAGTGGTTAAAGCGTTCGCTCGTCACGCCGAAGACCCAGGTTCGATTCCCCACAAGGGTACAATGTGTGAAACCAAAAATTGGCGAATTCTGAACAGAAGTTTACACCAAAACGCAGCTGTTCACATGCACGATATGTGCACATGCTTTTCAGCAATTTGATGCATGATCTTCGTACAATTCATCTGCATAAGGTCTGCAGTTGGTTCCCCCAAGTTAGTGGAGAAATCAATCTTCGATGCATGCATGCATGCACGCGCACACACACACACACACACACACACACACACACACACACACGTATAACATAACATATAGTAAGTGTTTTCAGTGAGTCTAAACTTTTGATGGGAAGTATATATACAAGAAGTTGTCATCCATCTGGTATCTTGCCTGAATAATGTTCCTCACCTACTTCGGGCGGTGGGGTAGCCTAGTGGTTAAAGCGTTGGCTCGTCACGCCGAAGACCCGGGTTCGAATCCCCACATGGGTACAATGTGTGAAGCCCATTTCTGGTGTCCCCCGCCGTGATGTTGCTGGAATATTGCTAAAAGCGTCGTAAAACCAAACTCAGTCAGTCCTCACCTACTTCTAAAATACCAATCAAACAGATGGTCGTTGAATTGTTTTAAACGAAAACCCGACTGCACCAAGAAACTGTGCAGAAAACTACAGAAGCTGCTTCATCTGCACAGATTATTCTGATTATGGGGAAGGATAACAATATCTGGATGAACAACGCCTTTATTACAGTGAGAGCGACGTTTCTGTGTAGGTTCTAACACCGTTATCAAGTAACATTTACAATCTACACTGAAACATCGCCCCCTCTTTAACAAAGAAGTTGTCCATCCATATATTGTTATCCTTTCTTAGAGCCCCAACTTCTAAATTCCTCTAAAAAAGTTAGTCATATTGTGCTTTCACCCGCGAAGATCCGGGTTAGAATTGTTTTTCAGCAACCCTTGTTTGTCGTCAGAGGACCCGTGAAGATCCGGGTTAGAATTGATCTTCAGCAGCACATTCTTGCTGTAAGAGGCGACTAACGGGATGGGTGGTTGGGCTCGGTTTACACTTGCCATGGCACAGAACACCACATAGAGCCGTAATATAGTACGGCTTTAAACAACAAACTGGGATCGTGGACTTAGTTGATTCATGTCATCGTATCCACATACCGCACATGGCCAGGTTATTAACGTGCTTATCAGTACTGTATCTCACTTTAGGTACTATTTCACTCTCATGAACGACAAATCCCAAAGTCAGATTCGAACCCAGACCGTACACCCTTTGACCAACTAGACTACCTGATCTCTTCGTTAAAGGTCACATGCAACGTAAAACACAACTTTGCAGATTCTGATACCTTTCGGTATGGACTTACCGAAACAAATCGTCAAAAATGCAAATTCAACTTATAAAGTTGAAAAAAACGCGATGAAAAAACCCGCGCGAAATCGGAGTTCAAACGATTCACTAATTTTCCCCCAGCGCTTTGGGGAAAAGTGGTTTCAACTGTTGGGCTGCGCTCATAGCACATGCGCAGTGAAATAGGTTCGCGCAGCTTGTATAAAGCGGGTTGTCCGGTGAAGGCTTTGGTGTGAGCTATTTTTCTAATGTTTTGTTGATATTTCACAGGCGCGAGCTTTTTATATTATATGTTATGACAGTAGATTACCGATTTAACTGTTTATATAATTTCATTTGTCTATTTCACCACACGTTCTTCTTACCGAGTCACTTTCTCAGTTCGATACTTAAAAGCAATGTCATTATTTAGCGTTGACAGAATTTCTAACTACGATATAGATATGTCGTTGTCACAGACAAAACTCAATGTCTGTTTTATTGATACCTGTGTGTCTGCCTGCCTGTCTGCTAATGACAATATTCAATACACAACTCCGATCACTGACCACATGCAATTTGAACTTAACACCAATCAGGCTATACACCATAAACAAAACGCATGATTGATTTATGGCCCGAGTTCGGTCTCTGTCACATTATGTAATTACACAGACAGGCAGGTGTGATACTTGTACACATGACATGTTATGATCTCTATTGATTGCAAAATGTTATACACAAAAATTAGCATGTATTTACGAAACCCTACATCTCTATATATACACACACAATAGGCCGTGAGGGCATCTGCAAATGAACCAGCCGTTACACTTGAGTGCACACCCACCCGCTCTGACTGGGTTCGGTATCCCGGCTGCTTCGTTTCTTGGGAAGTAAACCCAAGTACAAAATTATGCACTTTTGATTTGCGATTGTACGCTTATAATTTTGTTTATATGTTTTTTTCATAATCAGCAATGTATATTATATGTCATGAATAAGTGATAACTGTGTTTTAATTATGTTTGATTTTTTGGTTGCATGTGACCTTTAAACATTTGGTACAGGTCAGCCACGTGATCAGCTTGCAAGTCGACCTGTTGTTGTAGGCTGTGGTATCATGGGAAGACTTGTGACCAAAAAACGATTGAATTAATGCACCAGTATGACGAACAGGAGCGACAGCCTGTCAGCTGAGAAGGGTGTGACGTTGTGTATTGTGCACAGACAGGATTGGCAAGTATGCAGGTGTCAGTTTTCTTTTAACATCTGACTATCAAAAAGAAGCATGTCCATGTTTTGGATACATTGTATGTTGTAAGCTTTATATCCCTAAAGACATATAAGCGTCGCATTTCCCCAACTGTGTCATAAGGCCAAGAGACGGAAATACATGTATGTGTTTCGAAAAGTTGTTAAAGGGGTTCGAGGACTGTCTTCAAAGATATCAAATGTGAAGCCATGTTTCATCCTTTGAACGGCAGCACAAAACAAGAAACTTCAATCCATGTACTGTTATACTATAACTGAAATATCCTGTGCTATTAAAGGATAACGCCAGACAGTATCCGAATAAAATTCAACCCTAAAAATATACTAATTGTTTGCAAGGAGTTGCACTGTAGCCATGATTGACACTATGAGTGAGTGAGTTTAGTTTTACGGCGCTTCTAGTAATATTCCAGCAATATCACGGAGGGGTTGACACTATGAAAGATTGACAAGTGGTGCTTCACGAAACTGTCAGTGCTTTCTATCTAACGCATGTAAAACGACAAGAACGTTATAAAAATGCTTAAAGCAAGAAAGATAGATTTTAAAGAATTATATTAACAATCGAAAGATTATTTTCGAAGCATAACATAATACATATATACTGTCAGCATTTTTAATTATTTTCATTAAAATGCTTTAACTTTCACGTCACTCGGAGGTGCTAGTGTACCGCACCACAGGCGTACAGTAGGCATGGGCAGCTTGACGTCACTCGGAGGGTGCTAGTGTACCGCACCACAAGCGTACAGTAGGCATGGGCAGCTTGACGTCACCAGGAGGGTGCTAGTGTACCGCACCACAGGCGTACAGTGGGCATGGGCAGCTTGACGTCACCAGGAGGGTGCTAGTGTACCGCACCACAGGCGTACAGTAGGCGTGGGCAGCTTGACGTCACTCGGAGGGTGCTAGCGTACCGCACCACAGGCGTACAGTAGGCGTGGGCAGCTTGACGTCACTCGCAGGTACAGGCGTGGGCGGCTTGACGTCACTCGGTACCGCACCACAGGCGTACAGTAGGCGTGGGCAACACGACGTCACTCGGAGGTTGCTAGTGTACCGCACCACAGGCGTACAGTAGGCATGGGCAGCTTGACGTCACTCGGAGGTTGCTAGTGTACCGCACCACAGGCGTACAGTAGGCGTGGGCAGCTTGACGTCACTCGGAGGGTGCTAGTGT